GAGTAGAGAAGAGTAGAGAGTAGAGCAGAGTAGGGTAGAGAAGAATAGATTATAGAGTAGACCAGAGTAGAGTAGAGTAGAGTAGACCAGAGTATAGAGTAGAGCACAGCACAGTAGAGTAGAGCAGAGCAGAGCAGATTATAGAGTAGAGCAGACTATAGTAGAGTAGAGCAGAGCAGAATAGAGTAGAGCAGAGTAGAGAAGAGTATAGTAGAGCAGAGTATCGTAGAGTAGAGCAAAGTAGAGCAGAGTAAAGCAGAGTGGAGTATATCAGAGTAGAGCAAAGTAGAGCAGAGTAGAACAGAGCAGAGTAGAGCAAAGTAGAGTAGAGCAGAACAGAGCAGAGTAGAGCAGAATAGAGTAGAGCAGAGTAGAACAGAGCAGAGTAGAGCAAAGTAGAGTAGAGCAGAACAGAGCAGAGTAGAGCAGAATAGAGTAGAGCAGAGTATAGTAGAGTAGAGCAGAGCAGAGTAGAACAAAGTAGAGCAGAATAGAACAGAGCAGAGTAGAGAACAGAGCAGAGTAGAGCAGAATAGAGTACAGTATAGAGTAGAGCAGAGTAGACCAGAGTAGAGTAGATTATAGAGTAGACCAGAGTAGAGTAGAGCAGTGTAAAGCAGAGTATAGAGTATAGCAGAGCAGAGCAGAGCATAGTAGAGTAGAGCGAAGCAGAGCAGAATAGAGTAGAGCAAAGTAGACCAGAGTAGAGTAGAGTAGAGCAGTCGAGCAGATTATAGAGTAGAGCAGAGTATAATAGAGTAGAGCAAAGCAGAGCAGAATAGAGTAGAGCATAGTAGAGCACAGTAGAGTAGAGTAGAGTCGAGCAGATTATAGAGTAGAGCAGAGTATAGTAGAGTAGAGCAAAGCAGAGCAGAATAGAGTAGAGCATAGTAGAGCAGAGTAGATTATAGAATAGAGCAGAGTATAGTAGAGTAGAGCAAAGCAGAGCAGAATAGAGTAGAGCAAAGTAGACCAGAGTAGAGTAGAGTAGAGTAGGGTAGAGTAGAGTAGAGCAGAGTCGAGCAGATTATAGAGTAGAGCAGAGTATAGTAGAGTAGAGCAGAGTATAGTATAGTAGAGCAAGGCAGAGCAGAATAGAGTAGAGCATAGTAGAGTAGAGTAGAGCAGATTATAGAGTAGAGCAGAGTATAGTAGAGTGGAGCCGAGCAAAGCAGAGCAGAATAGATTAGACCAGAGTAGAGCAGAGCAGAATAGAGTAGAGCATAGTAGAGTAGAGTAGAGCAGAGTAGAGTAGAGTAAAGCAGAGTATAGTAGAGCAGAGTAGAGCAAAGTAGAGCAGAGTAGGACAGAGCAGAGTAAAGCAGAGTAGAGCAGAGCAGAGCAGAGTAGAGCAGAGCAGAGCAGAGCAGAGAAGAGCAAGACTTTGGACCACAAAATTATAGGGTTTAACTACTGACCATTCCATTTTGTCACTACCGAAAGGATTATGTCACTACTGAAACTTTACCATAGGTTTCGGTAGTGACTGTTTCGGTAGTGACATTCCTAGCTATTTTTCAGGATAACTAAAGAATGTTAGCAGTCACATGGCTAACAAGCACATGTTTGAAGAGTTGTTCACACAGAAAAACATAATATTTTGCATAAACCCCCTAAATTTTTACATAATTGAAGAGAACATGTGTTCGGTAGTGACAACTTTAAAAGTTACACACTGATTTTCAGACTTTGGAAGACATTTATTTAAAAAATGATGGGAGTCAGCGACTTACCATGCAGCCATCTGGGATGGGGTTGCAGTACTACCCCCCTTCTCAGAAATTCAGGGGTGTGGCTAAAATCCAGACTCAACCAGAGCATTAAAACTCTTGTGTTTCGGTAGTGACGTGAAAACAAGGGACACTATTTTTTTTTAGCATAGTTTCTTAATTTAAAAATTAATCCCACAATACATCTAAATCTTTCAACTTCTGTTTAAACTTAATCACAAAGATGTTGAAAAAAATATGAAAAATGTAAAGTGTAAGTGTTATTTACATGAATTGAATTTTAGAGGTCAGGGTTGGGGGCAGCTACTTCCCAATAGAAAGTACCCTATAAATGGTGATTTTGTATATATTTATCACTTTTTCATTTAATGTCCTGGGTTTCAATAGGTCATAACATAATCTTTGTAAATATCTATGTCTGAATACTCAATTTTATTATTTTTGTTGTTTTTTTTGGTAAGGGACAGCACTTTGCACAAAATCGGTAGAATGCCCCAAATATGAAACAACAACATATAAAACAAACTACCAGAAAAGTAACTATACAGTAGCTATCAAATAAATGTAGCTTGAGCAGAATGTACAGTATTTCCCTCTAAGCAAATGGAAATACCCAAAGTACATCAAATTTGTACTTAAGTAGGCTACAGTAGCTACTTGAGTAAATATATATATACTTAGTTACTGTCCATCACTGCATTTGTCTCATCATTATGCTTTCTGTTTACATTTTTATGGAGACTTGACAGTTTACTTGGTACACCTAGAAAAAACAACAGCAGTTTAATATTGTGTTTAAGTGTTGAGTTATAAATTGTGGTGCTGTTGAACTGTACTGGATTATACTGACAGCAGTTTCTCATTTAGTCTGTCCTCACCAATATAAATGGGATCAAACAGGTCAGATGTGAAGAGGAAAAATTTATTCAGCCACACTTCAGACATCAGGTATACAATTCATATCAGATAATCAATATTTAAAATACTGTTGAATAAATACTACAATAAATACAATTAATCTTTAAACACAATAAATAAATTACAATAAATTCTTAAAATCATTATTGAATGGTAAAAACACATAGGCCTAAATAAGCGAAAGAACATGCAAAGAACAATAACATGTTACAACATTTAATAATATAAGAATATATCTTATACTGAAACTGAATATTGCCCATTAGACATTCCCCTAACGAATTACATTTCATATTTAACCACTACAGAGATATCAGCCACAAATTTCAAAAGGACTACCTGAGAGAGGTTGCTCTCTGGGGCAGCCTGAGCGCTCAAACACACGTTTATTATCTATGAGCGCTGACACCACTAGATGACAGCGGTGTCAGCGCACATGAGCGCTGACATGAGCGCTGACATGAGCGCTGACATGAGCGCACATGAGCTCTGACACCGCTGTCATCTAGCGGATCTCAGTCACATTCAACTGGGCTCTATATTAAAACATCGACCACGGGTCTGACGTTTAAACTACGCATGAAAACACTTCGTTCTGTGACAAAACAACAGTAACATATCTGTAATTATGGCTTACAATTGTGTGCCTTTCCCTCACTTGTCATTTTCCGATGATTGTTGCGAAATGCATGCTGGGATACCTGGCTGTCTGAAGTCCACACAAGTCTGCTCCGATGCATCCCCAGTGAAATGGGTGTGACGAGAACACATCCGGGAATTTGGACTGAACTTGGCAAGATGTGAACTTTGAATTGGAACAGTACTTGGGCTGTGACTGATGACGTGTCACAAGTCCACAAGAACACAAGTCCGCACAAGAACGCAAATTGAGAAACGGCTATAGACTTCCATGTAAAATGCTTTTTTTTTCTAAATGCAGGCACTCCAATGCAACGCCCCAACGTGTTGTCATCATACATAAACCACCAAGTACCATTCATGTGTTCCTCGGATGGTCCGATTTCCCATGTCGGGAAGTCAATCTTACTTCATTGTGTGTTCATGAGCGTTTGGTGGTAATGTGGAGACATCATGGACATTACAAAGAAGATGTGTTGTATTTTATCACTCAAAATGTTTAAAAAACACGTCGTCAACCGTTTCAACTGAAATATTGCTTTACGGCCGGAAACTCATTTTTTCGATTATTCCGACATCACATGAGGCAGCGCCACTGCGCAGCGGTCACATTCAAGATCAACATGGCTAATGTTTCTGGCTGATCCAAGAGGTTTTTTTTAACCATATAGGTTAAAAAGAAACGACACACAGTGCGCCCAAATTCACACCTGTTCATTCCTCTCTATGGATTTTCTCCGCAACCGTTGGCGAGAAGCCACGCATATCACGTGGAACAGCGGAACTGTAGCTTTGTCGGACACTTGTCGGTAGTCCAATGTTTACACAGGGAAAAAAAATTATAAAGTTACACTAAAATTATGTATAACAGAGCTTTCATACAGCTTTGCACACACATTAATCTAGGATGGATTACTCGCGAATGCAGGATCGCACAGAAATGCCACGCATATCACATGAAAGAGCAGGAAAAGAGCTTTCCACTGATACCACACACATCATTGTGCTGTCATCCCTTCACGCTATACATACAGATCAATTGTCTACAAAATGAAAACCTGACGAATTTCTTTACAATCCATTATACAGATCTTGTTATCAGTCACTTCATATAGTGAGGAATATCGTATCTTACCACGTCTTAGGCTTGCGTGTGTTTCTCCCTGTCTATCCACATTTGTAGTCCAGCTTTCAAGATGCAAATATCTCAATATTGTCCAGTTGACCCTCCATCAAACTTTGAATGACAAAACCAGCCACTTCACCTTTGCATACCCAGACAACTGTAGCCTAATTATGCATGCATGACAGGGCCGTAGTCACCATATACTGTACATTGAGGGGAACATGTGTCCCCCCCAGTGCCCAAAATGTCTCCCCAATATATAACTGAAACTGAAAAACAACAACAAAAAATGTTCAGGTTAGGTCAAAGAGCAGTGATACTATGTGATGTGCATTGAATTAAGTTGTAGGGTATGCCTGCATTTTGTCACAGTCTCCAGTCTCCTTCACCCAATATGTTTTCCTTGCCACACCCATCTCATCAGGCAATTCCACTCACCTGTGTTCTTCAGCACACCTGTAACTCATCTCATGCAATCAGCCCAGCATACTTAAGCTCCAGCTCCACACACACCAGTTGCCAGATCGTATTCGCTCTCATGCAAGCCTTTCCAGCAATTTGTCTTGGACTGATCACCCGTTGCCAACCTGTTTTGTCCCCGTTCCTGCCTGCTCGCCTTGCCCTCGGACTGATTGCAAGATCCAGACCTGTTTCTGCTCTGACCCTGCCTGCTCGTCTGATCCCCGGCTATCGACCTCGCCTTCTGACTCTGACACCGAGCTTTCTGCCTGTAAATCCCAACTGTGCTGGTTATCTGATCCCTCGTCTGTCCCCGACTCTCCAACTGTCTGTTCCCCCGCAACTGTTCATCTGGACTGCAAGTCACGTAATCTCCTCGTGGACGGGAGGTTACGTCTCTGACTCCCATCCCGGCATTGCAGGTTCAAACCCTAGCTGTACCAGTGATTTAAAAGACTCTGCTCCTGTTTAGCACTCATTTCCACCTCATGGCTTAGAGGTAACGCCGCCAACTTTCCCCCTCAGCGACTCGGGCACGAGACTCGCCTGAAGCAGTTACACATTTTCCTGTGTTTTTGATAAAGACTGTTGATTACTTCATCTGCTTGCTGCTTCGCATCTGGGTTCTTTCCTGTGAGTCTGGACGTGACACATTTATTTCTTTAATCAGAACACAAAAGTAATTTCCACTTAGCTATAATAAAATGTTTTCTGATTAAGACTGAGAATGACTCAGTGAATACCTTACTCAATTTTATTTGATTAATGGTAAAACAGGTCTCTGTTTACATTCAAAGGTATTTGTGTGGGCAAACTGATGAAAATTAGTCTGTTGATGACCACAGTGGATTGTTCAGTCATTGTAGAGCCAAATTAATTCAAATTTACCCATTGAATGGGTCACCCCAGGAATCATCACAACAATTGACCTACCTGAGAAATTTGGCAGGAGCCGCCACTGCTATGTAACACACCAAAGAAGAGGGGAAACCCTAAAAAGCATAATATGTCTCCTTTAAGGCAAGGCAAGGCAAGGCAAGTTTATTTGTAGAGCACAATTCATACACAAAGTAATTCAAAGTGCTTTACAGAACAAGAAAATTCATTAAAATCACAATACAAAATAAAAACATAAATAATCATTATAAAATGAACTTTCAGTCATATGCACAGTGAAATAGAGCTGTTTTGAGCCTAGATTTGAACATTGTCAGAGTAGAGGCCTGTCTCACATCTTCAGAAAGACTGTTCCAGATTTTAGCTGCATAAAACTGGAATCCTGATTCCCCATGTTTAGTCCTGACTCTGGGCACCAGCAGGAGGCCGGTCCCTGAGGTCCTCAGAGTCCGAGATGGTTCATATGGCACTAACATGTCAGAGATGTACTTTGGTGCTAGGCC